AAATAAAAAGCAGAAAATTCACGGTTTGTGTGACGTCTAAATGCGACGTACGATTCATTTTTATTAAGGTGTGGTGATTTGGATTTTGTTGTGTTATGTGTTCCCCTGACCTCAAGTCTTTGGGCCTGTATTTTAGATAGGCCTACCGTATATTTTTATACGGTATATTTTATACCGTATTTTGAGATAAGCATCAGAAACAGACCCCATGTGATATTTGTGACAAAATAAAACAATATTGCCTCAATCTTTCTTCTAACTATATCTGCGTATAGGTCTGTAATACCAAGTTTTTATATCTCTCTCCGCATTGATAAAGGTATAACAAATCAAATTGATTTAGGTAAAATTTAGGCTGTTTATTATTTTCCCGAAACAATTTACTAAAATGACAAAAGATATAAAAGTATTATAAAGATTTTGTTAACTTCTTAATTAAAATTGTTAAAAATTCCACGGCACATCTTGTAACTATGTATTTTTCAAATATGTTAATAGTATTTTGAAGTTGTACTTTTGACCCTTTAAATTGTAGTGACATTTGCCAGTCATTTCAATTACATTATGCCTAAATATGCCAGTTTCAAGTCAAATTGAATGTCCACGGACCAACATTCATTTATTCTTTTATTCGGTCAAACTTAACATACAAACCACAGAAACATCATAAAATTGGTAACAAATTAAAACAGATGTAGCAATATTGCATAAATAAGAGAACAATTTAGACCCATGTACATAGAATAAAAGTGTAAAAACATTGTAATAAAAAGTAAAAATTATCTAAAAAATAGCATGGACATGGATTCAAAGTAGGTCTATCAATAAATACTAATAATTCTTAATTCGTCATACACAAGTTCCTTTTGCAAAATTACTTTCCTTGGCAAATCATCACAGCATTGTTAAAATCTAAGACATAAACAAATTTAAGACACTACTGTACATTACTATTAATATTACATTAGATTCTTATTTCAACATATACTGTAGTTAGGGAATAGGCCTATAGGAAAAGTAAACCTAGACCTATAGGTCTAGGTTTATATAATTGATAGTAATATGTACCAGATGTGCCTCACTTTTTATCATGTCATAATATACGGTAGATTCTAATAAAAGTAAAAGTACAGTTTAATCACATCATAATGTCTTTAGATTAAATCTCCATTTATTGAATTGATTTAGCACCTGCATCAAATCGCACTTCGTTCATCACTTGTACCATGATGGTTATAATTTAGTCCAAGACTACAATCATAATAATCATAAAGTTGTAACCTTGTATGTTGTGTATATAAACACGTTATTATATTTATTATGCATCGCCCTTTAATTGTAATGACAACTATAATGATCAGAGGGTTAAAGAGACCTAGTTCCATACATGTTCATAAAACAGCAAGACTACCTGGTCTGAGTGTGGTGTCGACATTTCATAACACGGGTTAATTGCAACCCAGACTCTTCGCAACCTGAAATTTTCGTAATCCGGACTTTCATAGCACGGATTTTCCGTAACCTAAAAGTATAGCATCCGGAGTAATAAATACTCAATACCATAATTTTAAGAACTGTGGGGAGCTAGGTGTGGTAGGCCTGTGAAGTGTGAGGATGAAGGGATAATATAGAAAAGGGTACAAACAATTTTTTTTTGGAAGAGTTCCCCAATACTTCCATAACACGTCCATTATGATATACTTTATTTCCAACCCGTGAACTTTCTCCATTTAGGACCAATATAATTACAGGTCTCCCTCCACCACTTCTGGGACCAGAGTTTTCATTTCTTTTCTAGCTTTGGTCTTTAATACGAACATTATTATTATGAAAATGAAAGATTAGAGGTTCATTTGGGGCCAAGAAAGTCCATTTAGACCTAATTATTTCTATCCATCGAATAATAGTCCATTAAGCACTATGAAAATGAATGATTAGAGGTTCATTTGGGGGCCACAGAAAGGTGGTCTTTAATTGGAGGTAGTCGTTAGTTGGAGGTGTTTTATGATGGGGTAAATTTGTTGGCACTTAGTAGGCATGTTCCACCAGTTCACACATGGCACCATCAGGCCATATCTACTTCAAATAGTTTAAACTGTCCACGAGTACACTCCTGTCACCAGAAAACACACACGATTTCACGGCTTAATCCCTTCTGATAGCTACAACAGCATTTACAAGTATTTGCTAGCCGCTAGTTATTTATGTCCCTACAGTAAGCATTGGATACCTATCGTTTGGCTTTGAAAACTTACAACAGATTGTTCACAAGCTTGTTTAAATGATTAAGCTCTAGATTAAGATTCGATTTGAGTGCTGGGTCGCTTACGTTGTCAGTATTCACTCCCCATTATCTTCCTCTCGCTCATAATTTTAAAATTATACCAATTTTCTTCCCACGCGCTGATCAAGCTAGTAGAATACAATTTATTTTATGGGGGAATACAATAGATTTATGTAGTCTCGCATGAGTTTAAGATCATGTTTTATAAAGCACTCATCCCTGTCTCACCGTTTATGAGCGTTTCATGGAGGGGCTGACAAACATAAACGGGAATTGAACCATTGTTTGGCCTACATATATTAATTCATGATATAACACTGTTGTCCACGATGCCATTCCCAAATAGGCCTACGATTATAATGTTTATTGTGCATTCATTTATTTACACTTACATTCTAAAAGGGGGGCGCGAAGTGAGGTGACGCAGGGAGCACTATCGAATAGTTGAATTCCTGCCTCACACCGTGTATGAGCATTTCATGAAGGGGATGACAATCATAAATAGGAATTAAACCATTGTTTGGCCTATTTGAATTTATGACATAATACTTTATTTACTGTTGTCCATGATGCATTCCTAAATGCGAATATTACTGTAGCATTCATTTATTTACACTTTAAAAGGAGGCGCACAGTGAGGCAAGGTGGCAAGCGATATCTAATAGTTAAAATCCTGTCTCACAGTTTAGGAGCGTTTCATGGAGGGGCTGAAAAACATAAACCATTGTTTTGCCTATATGAATTCATGATATAGTATATAATTGGCTGTTGTCTATGGTGCTATTTCTAAATACGACTATAGTGTTTACGGTACATTCATTTATTTACATTTACGTTCTAACTCTTATTCAACAATAAGGTGAGGTATACCGAGCAATATACTGTAAATGATCAAATTGCCAGTCACTCATGTACGCTACTTGAAAATACTGCAAATCCGCTTACTGACTGTGAACAGGTTCAAGTTGTGGTAAATATCTAAAATACTTGACAAAATCTTCGTCAGCTTGTTTCTTAAAATTTCAAATACTTGAGTGTTTCTATCGCTAATGTATTAATCATGATTGATGTGTGCCAAACGAAACGTGCATAATAACATTGTACGGAATAATTCTTTGCTATTTAGTGTATAACACAGAGGCATGATCAAATAAATCCACAGACTTAAATCGACGTGTCAGTTATTCGTTCACAAGTCTCATTTGAGATAGTCCTACATCAATGACGTTGTTACTTTACTGACAAGGGCTATGATTTGCCAAACTAAAAGTTTTTTTTGGGAGTTGTTGGCTCAACGAGCTGTCGTGTTTGAAATAAACAAGCCTACCCTATCTACAATGTTCGTTTAGAAGTCCATTTAGACCTAATTATTTCTATCCATGGAATAATAGTCCATTACGCACTTACGTCTGTGCTAACAAACGGACATAAATGCTTAGGCTATTAAAATTAAATTTGTCGAAAGCACGATCCATGTAAACTTCTCAGGCGAATGCAGAATCTTGTACAAAAAAACCACAGACCGTAAGGCTACAAGATGATATGACGTCAATATAACTCAATTGAATGAAAGGTGTATGTAACTTAAGAGAAATTATTAGAAAATATCACAATTAGATATCTATTATTAACTGCTGTTTATATGAAGACATTTGCACATTTTGTGTTTTACACGCGTGTAGTGGTGAATTGAGACCACAATCACGCTCTTTGCTTATTGTAAATCGCGTAAACATGCCTGGTGAAGTGAGAAAGTTTAACAGTTAATCAGTCAGTGTTCTCAGCGTTGCTATTTTTTCGCAACATCTACATTAGTGAATCTCCTGCTTGAAGTAATTCATAGAAAGGGGTGTTTACAGCGTCAAGTCCTCTAAAACGTGTATTCTTTTACGTAGGCGACTGGTTTAACATTTAGGTTCGTGATTGGCATGTGGTTAGAATTCGTTAACATAGCCTGATTTTGGAGGCACACACGTAAACCATCGAACTCCAAACAAGTAGCTTAACTGCGTTTTCATCTAAAATATAAACGGATTTACGGTACCAAATGAGTTCATGCTTTGTACGTGGATTTAACTATTCAAATCGCAAGAATGGTCACAGGCCAATCAATGTTGGTAGGCCTACCGGTACCCGTTACCAGATCACAGATCCATGTGAATCATCGTGACCAGTAGGACTGTTGAAACAATGCTTATATATAGGCCTATCTAATAGATACATTTCATTACCAATAACGGCAACATTCCAGGGGCGGATCCAGCGATGTACCAAAGGGGTCAAGAAAGGGGAGGGGGAACAAAAGTGGGGCCGATCGAGATAACACCACCCCTAGGGGTCGGGAGGCTCCGAGACGTTTTGGGCGATCAATTTTACTTTTTTTTTCTTTCTTTTTTCCCCATTTTTTGACTTTCCAAAGTCAAAATCCTCCCCTGGGTTCCACACATCGACCAGGAATATCTGACGCTTAATCACTTATTCAGTATATTTTCTATTCCTAACTTGCTTTAAATACGGCAAATAAACCTGGCCAATACAGCTAATACTAGCCTATTAAGAAAAAAAATTATACATAAACGCGTTCACCAAACTGAAGTACATATACAGACAAGCGCCCCCAATCACCAGAAAGATACAATGTTAATGTAATCACATTAATAATTACAACGAATAAGAAATAAAATAATATAAATACATATTTCTTTCCCTATTGTAGGTTGTCCAAAGGGATGCGATTCATGTTCGCCCTTCAACGGCTGCTTGGTTTGTAAACCGAGGTATTTTCTACTGCTGAATAGGATCGGAATGATGCACAAAGGAACGTGTACGAGAACGTGTCCTGGTGGATATTACAGTAGCCATAGTAACCATATTGATAAATGTTATAGTAAGTATTAACCATTAATTAGGAAATTGTGAAGGATCAAACATAATTTTAATTGATTGAGTTAATGAATATTTTAATTTTATTGAAAGCCAGTTTATATGCGTTTGAATTAAGTTTTTGTTGAAGGTGATAGTCTATTTGTGCTAATTGTATTGACGTTTTATTCGTTGAGTTATCAAGTTTATATGCAAAATTAGTTGTTTCTTTAGCAGTACAGTACTGTTCATTGCATCATAATTTATTGCCAACCATAATAATAATAATAATAATAATAATAATAATAATAATAATAATAATAATAATAATAGTGTAGTTTTATATAGCGCACATATCCATCTAATGTAAGATGCTCAGAGCGCTTGATATGTGGACAGGAACTCGATCAATGAATTTTTTCACCCCTAAGGGTCCCTTCGTGTCTGTGCTACCTGGTAACCCGGTACCAGCAACTCTCGTCGTCCACCACAGGGGCTGTCTGTTCAATTACACTGGGGTATCCCCTACTCGTCTGTTCTATTTATCTGTACCAGGCCATAATGTACACTTTTATTTGTCAATTTCATATATTTATATTTGTATGGTTAGTCTACAATATACTTATCTATTTTTATAATTTAATTGTTAATTTTACTTTCAAATTATGTAGTATTATAATATATTTCTTGATAGTACACTTTATAATGCTTACTGTTCTTTCTATATTTGATAATACAACTTTCTTGTTTTTATAGGATCTTGTTCTACCATAAATGTACTGAATTAATAATTTTCCAGTCTATTGGTACGAATCATTATTTGTGGGCTTGATTTGCTTTTTCTGATTGGTATTATATTTGGTTGATGTTTATTGTTCCATAGTCGGCCATTTACTTCCCAAACTTCTTCTTTTTATTTTTTTTCAGAATGCCGCGTAGATAATTGTGATATCTGTTTTAATAAGAGCTACTGTTCCCGGTGTTTATCGACGCATTTTCTATACCTAGGCAAATGTGTAGCTGTTTGTCCAACGGATTATTACCAAGATAAAAAATCTGGCGAGTGCAGGAGAGTAGGTAGGTATTGAGAGGCTATGGGACCAAAAGGTTACAGATATTTTGTTTACATATCTACATACAAAGCTTAAAATGCGCCAATAGTGTTGGGACTGATAAATATGTACCGTACGTTAACGGTGTTGATTCTTATATAAGTAGTAGAAATTCGATCGCAAAACTTCATTCGATTATAAATACTTATTATTTCTTAACGAATCATAAAAAAAACTATTAATAATAAGGAATCTCTATAATAAAATCACTATCTTTTATTTATTCTTCTTTTCAATGTCAAATTGAAAGCTTCGGCACGAATCCTTCTTTCGAAACCGAGTCTTAACTGGACGGAAGAGATTGTTTACAGACTTATATCTGATCTAAAACCAGTGCTCCTTTCACTTTTTATGTTTAATATTATCTTAACTTTAAACATTAACTAACTTAATTATATATATTTTAGACTGAAATGTCCAGCTTATCACCATCCTCTCAGACGTTCACTCGCAAATGTTATCTGGGGAAGTGGGTTGGTCACACTCTGGTTTCCACTGTGGGATATTCCCATGGCTCTAAAATAGTGGTCTCAATTTAGGACCAGAGGCTGGTCTTGGAAAAATGAGTACCATAATATTACTTCTGTTGAGTTTGTTCTTTTGAAATTGTTTTTGTGCTAATTCACCATAGAAAGGTGTTGAATGAAGTAAAACTAAATGTAAAAAAACATCGAGTTTGGGATACAGTTGACTTGGTTGTTAGGCATGTTGTGGTTCCGTATGTTTCTGCAATCTTGGGTTTAAATATCATATCAATTTAAACAAGTAGGTGGTGGATCTTGTAAAAAAGTAAAATACGAGCATGTCCCCTTTGAAGTTGAAGACACTTAAATCCAAGTTGATGTACACACTTCTTCTTTGGTGTTCTCTGCTACGTTACCACTGTCTTAAGTTTAGGCACTCTCCAATCTACAACCCAATATAATTTTACAGCACTGACTGTCAGGTGTTCAGCTTTTTTATACATTTACTTTATTATACAAGAGCATATTGCTTACTCTTGTTTTTGGGACATTTTCGATAAAACATTTTAAATGATTATGGTATTGTTCTGCTTTTTGACCTGAGGCTATTACAGACGTAGGACTATCTAGTATGTTTGAGTGGTAAATTATTCTTTGTGGTCAATTTATATCCAATACCGGTATGACATATGAATTTATTTTACCATAATTTACAAGAAAATACTCTCTCCTTTATAAAATATGTTGTATCAACTATTTATTTTTTAAATAATTATTTGTTTATACTCTTTAATCTATGTCATTTTAGCTTTATCCTAGTACATGTACCTAGCCTGTTTAACAAAGCGTTGCCTTCACTAGTTTGTGTATTCTCTGGTCGAAATATCATTTGGATAGTATAAATGTAGATATTGAAAGGTTAAAGTGTTGGATTATGTTATCTAAAAAAAAAAAATTAACAAGGCACACCAACATACAAATTATTCCGTAAGTTTACATCTGTACATTAGTTAGCATTTGTAGAATGGTAATTTTACATTATGATTCAAGTATGATAATTACAATGCACTGCCTGAATATATTGCACTCGTTATCGTTCACTCCAGGCTAGCTAGTTCCATAGTCGGCTGACCTGTTATTCCACTAGGACTAGTTTTGGATATCCTGGGACAACTACAGGAAAATGTCGATACTGATGAGCGTATGCCTACGTCGATGTCAGACCTAACGCTACGACTCTTGATAATAAATTAGTGCGTACATTAAATAAGAGTAATTCAAGCCAATATAACACTTGATTTTATTAAAAGTGTTGAAAAATAAGTATATTATGTTTAATTATACCCTGAGATGGTAGTATTTCAAATATATGTGTTTGGGAAGTCATAGAAATACAGGATAATTGTTGCATACATGTAAGCATGTTCACAAACTAGGCCTTACGGCGCCGTGGCACTGATTGTCTAGAGCCTTGTGATCAGCATTACTTAGCATGGCCGGCGGAACCGGGGTGGGGAAAAGATCATGTCTATGGAGATTTTTGTATGATCGGAAAGAAATGCAAGAAAAGAAAGAGGGAAGAAGAAGGAGAGGGAGGGAAAAGAGATTGTTTATCCAGTCCCCGACCGAGTTAGATTTTCTCGCAATTCACATTGGCGGATCTGGGGAAAAAACGAAAAAAAAAATTGAATTCTAGATCCAACTTTTCAGGACCCGTGAGCTGAATATTTTTTGTAACATTAAGAAAATTAGGAGTCGGGAAAGCTCATTACCCGCTATCTAGGAATCAGCATTTTTTCGGGGAAGGACCCCCGACCCCCATTTATTATTTAAAAAAAAGAATACGTATGCAACGTATATATACACCAGTACACACATAATAGGCCTATTTACTATAATAAGAATGAGAAAAATTTACCTGACCGTTTTCAAGGGGAACACCTTGAATTTTGAAGAACTTAAAAGTCATTGAAATAAACTTCAGAAGTCGGGAAAGCTCATTTCCCGCCATTTAGAAATAACATTTTCCCGGGGAAAACCCGAACCCGCCTTTCTCTTTGGGGCTCATTGATTCATAGAATCGTTTTCAAGAGGGGGAAAACCTTGAATTTTGAAGGACTTAAGTCATTAAAAGGCACCTCAGAAGTCGGGAAAGCCCATTTCCCGCCATCTAGGGGTTTTTTGTATGCCTACTTCAGAGGAAGGGAAACTGTAGTTTACTGGACACAGTGCATTTAATTTCAACGTTGCTGACTGCAAACTTGTAAATTCTATATTTTACGACCAAATCTCCAGCGACAGTTGTTTAAAGAGGCATTAGATGTTAAAGACATACCGTAGACCTACAGATGGTTTGTTTATTTAATACTTTACACGTTAAAATGGTAGAAAATTTTTAATATTACACTATGTGGCTGATATAATTATTGATACATTATGTGCATACTACCGTATCAAACATTAGTAGTATTATGAGAGCATCCTATTAATAATTATCGTTAATTACAACGGCATACTAATAACATAGGTTTGTCTAAAAATAGACATAAATTGTCGAATCCATTTATGAATTCCTTGCTCTACGGATTAGCTTAAATGGGTAATCAATGATTGTTGTAGCTGCATGATTATTCTGTTGGTGATGATGGTGGTTAACTACATAAGTAGGCCTATTCTATGGCTATTTTATTTTAGAAAATCAAGATCATTAGTACTAATCTAATTGTAGTGGTCTTAGTGTTTTGCTAACAATTTTCATTCCAAGGTCAACTCACCACGAAGGGAAATGACTTGCAAATTTATTAATTGAAGGGTAATTACTAACCACTAATTGTAATGAGCAGTGTCTTAAAATTCATTAATAGCTCCTCTTAAAACTTAAATAATTAGATGATACAAGTGCATCAGTCAAGGTCTCCTTACTTGTTTCCGGTAGAACTTAAACTGTCCCCTGTTGAAAACGAAGTGCCGTAAAATCGTTTCACAACGGTAGAAAAATCATACCTTTCATCAGCGACTGACTCAGTTTTTTTTTTTGTATAGACCAATGTTACAAAGCATTAAACTATAATTGACAGCACACTTCAGCTATTATTCATAATTCTCTGAACTATTATAAAACAAGAAAGGATCGTTTTAACACATGAATTAAAAGGTGATTGCTAAAGCGCCTTGCCGTCGACTTTGTTTAGTTTGCACATCTAAAACAATCAATCATTCAGTGATTGTATAAAGTGAGCTTTATTTACTATAATTGGTTGTCATAAAGCGCGTAGTGTCATTTATAGATAATAATTATACACGTGAGTTCGGTAATACTTTCAAAAACTTTGGCTTAATGCAAGTCTAACGACTGACTGTCAGAGAATTACTTTTAGCCTGAAGTTTCAAAACAGAATAAACGCAGCGTATCAGTCCGTCATTCCGAGAGTGGCTAAACTAGGCTATTTCGCTCCAGTTCAACAAATGAAGAGAAAAGATTCGCACAAGTTGAGTTGAAATTATGTTCACTTAAAGTTAAGTTGATTAGCACAAGCTAACCCTCAGGTTATATGCCTACAGCCAATTTAGCCTACAGTCTAGCAATACATTTTTCTTTTTTTAAAAGAACACATTTTATAAGAAGTGACTGAGGCTGAAATTGCTTAAAAATTAAGAACAAAATAAGAACAAATTGAGGCTGAGGTAAAATGTCCAGTGAAATTTTTATTTAAAAAACTAGAAAAACTCAAAAAATATATTTGTTTATGTGCAGTAGATGTGACTATGTAATACCCTCTATATTACAGTACAGTAGGTGTACCTCTTGTAATTTGGGGCCATTTTCACAGGGGCATTTTTTCTGGGAACATTTTTTTCAGTAGCCTTTTTTTCGGGGCCATTTTTTCCAGAGCCACTTTTAACTATATTCCAGTACAGTGTATACTGGTACAATAATTTGTATGTCGGAAAAGTGTGTAATATAAAAACAAAATAAGAACATTTTGAGCCTGAAATCGGCCAAAAAATAAGAAAACTGAGCCTGATTTGCTCCAACAAATTCTACCGGGTGTTTCCGATGACAAGAAATAACTCCTTTCGTCGAGGAACTTCTCCGATTAAAATAGTCAAGCTTTTCCGACGAATGCGTAGGTCTAGTGTATCACCTGAGCTCAGCACAGACTTTGGGTCGAGTAAACTTGAAGTCGAGTTGATCTGTTTCTTTCCCGACAAAAGGAAGCTCTTCTCTTACCTATCCCACCTAATTAATGAGTTACAGTTATGCGAGAAAATTAGATTTCGATCCATACATCTAATGCGGTATAGCTCCTTTGACTATAAACTATACTATCAGTGGCGGACCGTAGGGTAAGTTGCAGTATATGCCAGGGCCTGCTAGTGGGAAAAATGAGAGAAAAACATAACAATATTAACTTAGCTATTTCAAAGAAGCAATCAGCACGAAAAAGTAACCTTGGTTCAGGAGATTGTGCTAAATCTAAATAAAAAGAAAAAAAAAAGTACAATATTTCTGTTCTGTTTTCGCTAAGGTGCACTTATTTTGTAAATTCAAATTAAACTGTATTGCAATCGAACATATGATTGGATAAGACAATTTACAATACATTTAAAATATCAGAATCCGTATTAATCAGAGCATAATGACAATCAGATAATAGACTTCAAAATTAGTCAGCATGTTATCATCTAAGTGTAAACTGATAAAGACAAAAACTCCGGCCATGTCAACCCTCCATCCCTCGTGGTTTAATGCATATTGAAAAAAGGTATAAAAAGACGTTGGAAAATTACTAACTTGCCACCCTTTCGATTTTTTTAATTACTTTCAGCTTCTCTAAAAATATATCACCCAGTTATTCATTGTTGGGATTTGGGTACGTGATATTTTCATAAATGACTTCTCAATTAGACAAATCCGTCCCGATGCGCGACCTTTGTTTGCACCCACGAGAGGCCTACGACTATATGACAGTGTAAAAATCGCCAGTTAATATAAAAAAAGTTGGGTGTACTCAAGTTCAAACAGGTTTTTGTTAGTTTCAGAGCTTTTTCTATGACTTGGCTGTAAATGTTACATTATGTTAAACGACTGTAATACAAATTTGAATAATAACATTCAATGTTTAAATTATTTATAGGCCTACTTTATACATTTACTGTTAAAGTAATTGATGAACTTTTAATAGACTAAACAGTAGAAAAAACAAAAAAAAAAACATCAAAAAAAAAAAAAAAAACAAAAAAACAACTATTTTTCACACCAAATAACTGAAGCATAATGACTGTAGATAAAAAACAGTTCCTTATATCCCGAGCAGCGTAGGGTGGCTGAAAACTCAAGCATATGTGTTAATAAGCGATCATAAAGACTAATATTTATCCCGACCAGGTTAGGAAAATTGTTAATAGAGTAAACAGCATAGTTATATAATGTTTTGAAAATGATGTTTTGTTTACAGTCATTTAGTGGGTGGTTGAAACATTTATTCGAGGAAAAAATAAACGAGGCGTTTAATTCCAATTGCGGCTACGGTAGGGCGTTTATTATGGTGGGGGATTTATATAT